CCCCGGTCTAGCCCCGGGCGTGGCAGGAGGGGCTGTCCCTGTCCCTGCGGCTCAAGGCAAGGGAAAGGTGGGGACGCTCGGCTCTGCCCCGGGGAGCTGGCAGGGAATTGGAGAAATCTGGAGGAAAAGGAGAGCCCAGGCTGCAGGGCTGCTTCTTCACCACACACCGAGCATTTCCCCTCGCTCCCGTCACTCCTTGCTTGATCTAATCTCAACCTGGAAAATAAACTGTTACTACCTGGCTCCTCCAACACCACTTCAGCTAAAACAAATAAATAAAAATAAATCACGGGATTCGGCCCAGCTTTTGCAGGTCGCAACCCCCATTTCTGGCACATAAACATTTCCCCATCGCGTCTGGGCCAGCGAGCGGGTACTGCTGCCCCGGCCGCACGGCGAGGTCTGGGGGTGCAGCTTCTCCCCTCTGCCCGCCTTTGGCTCGCCCGGCTCTGAGAAGCGAGCGGTGCTCTGCCCTTGGGAGAACCGCAGGCCACCGCCGAGCAGCAGCCGGGAGATACGTCAAGGCCAATTCGGTCCCCGGAGACCGATTGCTGCCGACAGCTCGCCCTGCCCGTCTGCTGCACGCAGCAGCCCGGGGAGCTGGCAGCGGGGCTGGGCATGGGCAGCGCAGACCTGCCTGGAGGGGCTGGGGTGGTGGGAAGGACTTTTGGAAAGCGCTGGTGGTGGCAGCAGCGTGGTGAAAGCCGTGTTGGGAGAGAGGTGGCTGTGCTTGGCCCGGAGCACGGCATCTTCCCCCATGAGCTCAGCCGGTCCGGATGCATCTGTGGGGAAACTGAGGCAGCACAGGTGAGCTAGTGCCACTGGCACTCAGCCCTCTCTGCTGTGCCCACACCGGGCTTTGTGCCCTGCCCGGCTCCCAGACCATCCCAGGGAGGTTCCCTGGGGAGCAGAGGGCGAACCCTCCGTTTCGGTGGGATTGTGGGATCTGCCACTTCCTCAGGTGCTGCATCCGTCAGCTGTGGGAAACCATGAGCAGAAAGGGCTCGCTCTGGCTTCCCCGCCGCCGCCACCACAGGGCCCCGGGCTGCTCCAGTCACAGCCACACCAGCAGTGTCACCTCCCAGCATGGCACCAGCTCCAAACCTGCTGTGGATGTTGCTGCACCCTCCGGCTTCTCCCCGTGGCCAGGAATGAGCCGGGCAAGCAGCCCTGGGGAGCACATGCAGACCCCAAACAGGCACCTCCCGGGACCTGCACCCCCCTGTCCCTGCACCCCACTGCCCCTGCAGTGGGGGACGTGTCCAAGGATCGCGTTGGCGCTCGCTGGGTCGTCGCTGCTCACCGGGGCTGGCACATGCCCTGCGTGGGAGGGGAGCGTCCCTCGCACGGGGAGCTCGCCCGTGCTGCTCGACTCCCCAGACCTGCTCTGCCCTGCGTCTCCGGTGGCTCAGCGTCCCGGCCCCGGTGGGAGGAAGGTCTCTTTTGCACAAGCCGGGATGCCTGGGGCTGGAGCCAGGCTGCAAACGAGGGGCAGGATTTGTCCAGCCCGATGCAGACCCCCTCTCCCACCCCCGTGCAAACATGTCCACCCGAGCAGGGCGTCAGGGCTCCCTTTGCTGCCCAGGGAGGGGATGGGCACCCCTGGGTGCCGTGTGCCCATCGGCGCCAGCTCCCAAATAGGTTGGATGAGTCACCTGCCAGAAGTGCCCTCCTCCGGGGCCACAGCAATGTGCCGAGGTGGGGACAGCGCTTCTGCCGGTGGCCACAGCTCAGGAGCAATGCCACCGCAGTGTCCCTGGGTTCTCCCCAGCCCAGGGGATGGGCAAAGGGGAGCTGCGGCATTGGGTCCCACACCCCCAGCTCCAAGCGGTCCCCAAATGCAGCAGCACCTGCAAAACGCTCCCTCCGGCAGCCCCTTGCTCATGCTGAGCTGAGGGTCCAGGCACGTGCTGCAAGGGGCTCCGAGCCCCTGCCCTGCTGGGGCCTGTGGCAAGGGGCTGTGCAGACCCCCCAGTTCTGGTAGCCCCCGGCAAGAGAACAGCCCCTGGCCAAGGACACGGGTGCCAGGGCTTTGCCGGCACTGTCGGCAGGCTGCGCCCCCCCCAGCCCCCGGCTCCAGACCCACGCCGTTTGCAGCTGGAGGGGTGACGGGCGGTGAAACCCAAGCGCAGCACCCGGATTTTCCTGCCAGGCCTGAAGGGCAGAGCCGGCAGCGAGGGCGGCTGCAAACCGCCCCAGGAGAAATCCCTGGTGCCGGCAATGCCAGAAGCTCCCGGTGCAGCGGGGTCACCTCCCTCCTCCCCTATCCCACCACTGGGTCCCCTTTCCCTCTGACCCACGGCTCCGGGATGGAAGCACAGAGGGATACGGCCATCACGGCTCCCCGTGCTATTCTGGACCCTATCCCAGCACCACAGGCTCTGGCACCTTCTGCCCGGCTCCTTCCCCAGTGCTGTAGGGCCGACACAAGCCCAGCCAGGACAGCGGGACAGACGGACGCATTCTGCCAGCCCCTCTTCTGCTGCATCAGGGTGACAGAGAGGCGAGACGGGCTGATCCTCAGGCTGTTTATTGGCATCCCCCTTGGCTCAGCCCGGTTGCCGCGGCCCCGCCGGGCTAGTGCCTGGCTCACCTATAGGCACTGCGGGGGTTTTGCTATGCAGAGACCACCAAAATGGCCTCGGAGCCCCCCCGGGCATCGCCACCCCCACACCCCCCTTGTGTTCCCAGGCCTCTGCACGAAACCCCATTAAAAAATAAACCCCAAACCACCAGAAATGCAGAGGGGTGGCTACAGTCGCCACACGGCGCCGTCTGAGCCCTCGCCGGAGCCCCTGCATGGCCCCGGGGTACAAAATTAGGGGGGGGGACATCAGCACCGCCTGCACCCCAGCAGGGCTCTCCTGGGGTTTAAGTCCTGGGTTCTCTTGGGGGGATGGGGGGGGCAAATGGGCAGAGGAATTAATTGCCCCCTGCGTTCCTGGCACAGTGGCTGGGGCCCCCTTCCCCACGGGTGG